GAGGCGGAGAGGGTTAGGGTTTGGGGTTCGGAAGGGATTTTTTATGATAGGATTTTTTTTTCTGAAGAGATGGTCGAGCTGGACTCTTGGCGGGCTGGGTCGGCGTATTGTTTGGAGTAAACTGGGCTTGGGGGCTGGGGGCCTGCTCTCCTTCCAATTTTTCTACCCAGCGAACATTACCAGCATACGAGCTTCTCTGCTATCAAAAATTTCCCCTCTCGTTAGGGTTTTACCTATCCTCTCGGCGGCGGCGTTTCCCTCCCCCCGTAGAGAACGCATCTCCCCTGCTCCCCCTCGCCGTGCCGGCGGCCAAGGCTCGCAAGGGTCTCGGGGCGCGACGCGGGTGGGGTTTTGCTAGGGTCTATACCGCCCGCCAAGGTTGTCAGAATCGTGATTTTGAATCGGATCGGAGCTCCGATGGTAGGATCGCAAATCGTAAAATCTTCACTATCAGGATCGTAGAAACGTAGATTCTATGAAGTAAAATCGTAGAATCGGAGGGGTTAGTTTGGATCGTAAAGTCGTAGAATCGTATAACAGAATCGCGATTCTGACAACCTTGCCGCCCGCGGACAGAAACCCACGGGTAAGAGGAATCAATGGCGACGACTCCAACGGGATCGGTGGCAACTTCCGATCTGAAAGAACTGATGGCGGAATTGGGGCTGAAAGAGGATGATCTGCAGGATGTTGTCAACGAAGAGGATGAACTGCCACGGGAGGCAACCCGGTGGATGGCGTTGGCTAGGGTTCACACAGATAAACCCTATAGTCAGTATTGGTTCTATAGGAACATGCGTGTGGCTTGGGACTTGGCCCGGGAGGTGAAGATCAGGCCGCTTGAGGACAATCTCTATACAATGCAGTTTTCTGTCTTGGAGACTGGGAACGGGTGACGGAGGAAGGTCCATGGCAGTACAAAGGGAAAGCCGTAATCATGGCTCCGTATGATGGATTCACGAAGCCCTCGTTGATCGAGCTAAACAAGATAGATATATGGCTTCAGATCCATGACCTACCAGACGGTTTTTTCCCTAAGGTCAAGGCGCTGTCGGCTACAGTTGGTGATTTTATCTATGCTGAACCAAAATCCCAAAATTTTGAAGGAAATTTCGTCCACGTCAGGATCAAGCTAGATGTCACAAAGCCCCTCAAAAACGCAGTGTCGTTGGTTATACGCAAGAAGGACACCGTGGAGAGGGTCATCTTCCGTGTGAGATATGAAAGGCTGCCAGATTGGTGTGCAGTCTGTGGAAATCTTGGACATACTTTCAAGGAATGTGGAGATGGGGTGCACCCCCCAAAAGCTCTTGTGTTCAAAGATCTCCGAGCAACCTGGTTCAGGGGACCAGGCAGAGGCCCGGGTGAAGGCTCAGGAGAAAGGGAAGGACGCGAAAGAGGCAGATCAGGAAGGGGCTGTGGGCGTGGTTCTTCACAACACGACCCTTCAGAGCAAGAGGAGCACGAGGGGCGAGATAACAGGGCCTTTGACGTTACAATGGAGGAAGCAGACAGGAACAGAAAGAGGGGTGTGACTACTGCTGAGCTGAAAGGTTCGGGGACCGTCCCATCATCCTCGACCTCAAGGGTGATGCCACCCTTGCTACCGCCACTTGAGACCCCACAGAGCCCACCACCGAAGCAGGAACCCAAGAGGAACAAGCCGAGTCCAGCAACCCCTGACAATGCTCTGGTTAAGAGCACAATTTCAAAAATCAATGACGCGCTTTTGGCGGGCCCCCTCAGTGGGTCGCGCCTAGCGCAATGAGTATCTTATCCTGGAACTGCCGCGGGGCTGGCAACCCCGTGACAGTCAAAGAGCTTCGTGAACTAACGAGGCGGTTTGCCCCCTCTATACTTTGTATCTTAGAAACTCAAATAGAGGGTACGAGAGTAGAAAACTTAGTAGACACACTCGGTTTCAATAAAAGTTATGCAATTAGTAGCTCTGGTAGGAGTGGTGGACTAGGTATTTTTTGGAATGATGAAATAAAGTTGGAAGTTGTTGGCTATTCGAAATACCACATTGACACTTTGATTGATGAGCTTGTTGAAACTCCAGTAAGGGTTACTTTTGTCTATGGGGAGGCTCAGGTCCCGGAGAGATACAAAACTTGGGATATGCTCTGTGGTATTGCAGGTTCTCACAGTAGGCCATGGGCCGTGATGGGAGATTTTAATGAGGTACTGCATGGTCATGAATATGATGGAATCGGCAATAGGAGTCAAGCCCAGATGGATGCATTCAGAGATGCATTGGATACATGCGTCCTTTCTGATATTGGTTACACAAGCTTGAATTGGACCTTTGAGAAAAGAGTAGCAGGAGGTACTTATACAAGGGTTAGGCTGGATAGATGTGTTGCAAACAATGAATGGCTCCTCAACTTCCTGGCCACCAAGCTTGAGCACAAAACAGCAGCCGAGTCGGACCACATGCCTATCCTCCTCCAGCTACGTGACGTGCATGCATGCAGCAGTGGGGCCAGATCTTTTAAATATGAGACTATGTGGGAGAGGGATGAGAATCTTTTTACTGTGGTCAGCAGCAGATGAGCAGAACAGGCGGGCGACACAGTGGATTTGCTACGCGGAAAACTAGGCGAGCTGGCGGGCGACCTTACCAGATGGGACAGAGAACACTTTGGATCAGTGCGGTCAGAGATTTATTATTTAAACAACGCACTTCAGGTGCTGCGCTCTGCCAATGGGCGCTCTGGCCCAAGTCGGGAGGAAATCAAGGTATGTGCCAGACTGATTGAACTCTATCATCGCGAGGAGATCCTCTGGCGGCAGCGGGCACGATTGGATTGGCTCGTTCACGGAGATAAAAACACATACTTTTTCCATTTGAGAGCAAGCCGCAGAAGGAGGAAAAATAAAATAAAAATGTTGCAGAAACCAGATGGTCAATTGACAAAAAATGTAGTAGAGATGGAGGAGATGACTACAGAGTTCTATAAAAACTTATACACGTCTGAGGGGGTGCAGAACATGGACCGGGTAATTGACACGGTACTAGTTAAAGTTACATCTGAAATGAATGACATGCTCAATGCCTCATATAGCCAGGATGAAGTGAAAAGGGCCCTTTTCCAGATGTTCCCTATCAAGGCCCCGGGGCCTGACGGGTTTCCGGCGCATTTCTTCCAACGCCATTGGGACATGTGTGGCGCGGACGTGACCAAGGTGGTATTGAGAATAGTGGAGGGGGCAGAATCTGCTGAATGCATCAACGAGACAGTTCTAGCTCTAATTCCCAAGGTAAAAAATCCAACACTGTTATCACAGTTCCGCCCGATTAGCATGTGTAATGTGCTCTATAAAATTGCCTCAAAGGTTATATCGAACAGATTAAAGGTTATCTTGCCTGACATCATATCCCAGGAACAGTCAGCCTTTGTGCCAGGTAGATTTATCACTGACAATATCATAACTGCGTACGAGTGCCTACACTTCATGAAGCGCAATAAGGCAAAGAAATATCAAACCTGTGCTTTAAAGCTTGATATGATGAAAGCTTACGACAGAGCTGAATGGGCATATCTGAGGGCCATAATGCTTAAGTTGGGCTTCACACAAACATGGGTGAACATCGTCATGGGTATGGTAAGCTCTGTAAAATTCTCAGTTATGTTTAATGGAAGGAAGCTTCAAGAGTTCAACCCTTCACGAGGAATCCGACAGGGGGACCCAATATCTCCATACTTGTTCTTGTTAGCAGCAGAGGGCCTTTTGTGCCTGTTAAAATCCAAAAGTGAGTCACCAAACTTGGGGGGGTACAAGTGGCACCGTCAGCGCCGCAAGTAAACCACCTCTTGTTTGCAGATGACAGCCTGCTGTTTATCAAGGCGAATAGTGGGGGAGCTACTGAGGTCAACCAGGTTTTGGAAACTTATTGCCTAGCCATAGGGCAACGTGTCAATACAGCCAAGTCTTCGGTGTTCTTCAGCAAGGGAGTGCCAGAGAGCACTAGAAATGAGGTAAAGAACCTATTGAATATACCAAATGAAACACTGAATGAAAAAAATTTGGGCATGCCATCAGACATTGGAACCTCCAAAAATGGTGCTTTTAAATACCTCAAAGATCGTTTGTGGAGTAAGATACAGGGCTGGATTGAGAGGACAATGTCTTCGGCGGGTAAGGAAGTATTGGTGAAATCGGTTGCCCAAGCAGTGCCAGTCTTTTCAATGTCATGCTTCAAACTTCCTAGGGGCTTATGTGAGCACCTAAACATGTTGATTCGGAAATTCTGGTGGGGGAG